TCTGGTTACTACCGTTTATGTCAGAACCGGTGCCATCATGGCACCGGATACCGGTACCCATCCCTATACAGAACACTAGATTGTTACAATTAAACAATAAATCTGTGTTTTATTGTACCCAGAAATACATTCACCCTTGAGAAACTCTTGAACATAAACTAATTCCTGGCATCTTTCTTGTCTGTGAACGTCAATGTGTCATACCTAGGTGGAAAAAGCCTTTAAATGCCTCTGAGTGTTACACAGGCCTAAAGGGCTTATTCTATCAAAATAAAAATCAATATCTTTTCAATGTGGTAGAAGACTGGGTATTTGGAAATTGCTTCACAGCTGTAACCTTTCCTGTTGACTGAATAAGTGCTGGTTTAGCTGAGTAAAATTATTAGGTAAGTAATACTGCGTTTGCCTTTTTCCAAGGAGCTAAATATGAGTTGGTCATGGTAAAAATGATTCAAAAAGTCTTTACTTAATATTAATAACAATAAAATATCCATCTATCCATTCTCTTCCACTTATCCTTGACAGGGTCGCAGGGTTGCTGGGATAATCACCTAAGGCAGTTAAGAAAACTAAGTAAGAATACTCCAAACACATTACGGTGTGTTAACCTACCAAGTTTATTTGTAATATGATAAAACCTCTCAATATGAGAAATGGCATCTTGCTTAACATGGGGTCACATTCCTCTGATTGCAATGTCGCATGTCAAGATTTTAAAAATGAACTTGAAAAAGAAATTCATACTCTGGGATAAAGTTTAAGTTCTGTAATTATACAACACTCCAGGAGCAAACAAGACTTTTTCTGGTTATCACAGCCCATTGTTCATCTTCAGAATAAGCTCTCTCGTCATCCTTGGAGCGTGAGTGTTAAAACAGGCATCAATCTGGACTTCGGAGACTACCTCATTACGCCCATTGCCATCAGAGACAGGAGGACTAATAGGCTTCTGTAATATGGGCCCTGAAATGAGCGACTTCATCGTTCATGTAGTTTGACATCCCCCTACTCCCTTCATTTCCTTTGCCCATCTCTAGACTCCATTCATTAGTATGGGACAGTCCAATTCATTAACGGAGGCTTCCGGCTTTGTTCAGAGATGTTGATCTGAAAAGAAGCCACTTTCTCTCTTTCTCTCCTTCGCAGACCAGTTACTCTTATTTTCACTTGGATAGACTGATAAGTCTGCATGGAGCCCCCCCCAAAAACAGAGCAATGCATGTGTCTAATTCAAACACAGCCACACATATAGACTTCAAGCAAAGCCATTGCCACTTCAGAGTATAATCATTTGAGATTGTGAGTGAGATCAGGCAGAAATATTCTGTCACGAATCAGCCAGAGCTGACGGAGCTGTGATATATGTGATCACCATGTACCTGTGAATGCTATAACTCATTACCCTTTATCACTTCCACCGCAGGCTGACTGGCTTCCTTTTTCTCACCCAGTCTCTCGTTTCTGTTGGTCTTTGTCATTTCCGTCACTATTGTGCTGTCGCTCAGTTTTAATTCTCAGGCAAACATTAGTTACCCAAACACAAATTAAATGAATGTCACTATAATGTGCTTCATAAAAAGCTAATGGCAGGGCCACAGTTGTTCTTTTAATGCTATTTCTTATTAATGTGCATATTACTGGTTACTACTCATTAGTACTTCAAAATAGCCATGAAAACCCTACAAAACATATAGAAGATATGCATTGATCTTTAGATTTACCAGTTTTATCCATTTTGATTAGACTTTCCTTTGTAACCAAGGTTACTAAAGAATACGTGTGTGGCGTGTCTGGGTAGAAAAAACTCTACCCAGTCAAGAAGCCAACACATGAAATTACTCTTATTATCAAAGTTCTTTTTTTTTCTCCTTACATTCTGCACACGGTGTTACTTACAGCAAAATGAGTTAAGTGCAGCACAGACAACTGAATTTAATTGACTCGCTGGTGGAGAAACCTCCCACGAGGGACAGCTGCAGCTCCTCGTTCTCCGTTTGTCATTTTGCTGTGGACAATTTAAATAAAATAAATAAATAATTTTTTTTATTAATATAGCACCTTTCAAGACAGAATCACAAAGTGCTGCACATACGATTACAAGTCATAAAAAGATTTAAAAAGAGAAAATAAAACAGGCATAAAATTAACCAAAAGCAGTTTTAAAAAGGTGAGTTTTGAGTTGTTTTTTAAAAACAGCTACTGAGTCCACAGTTCTTAATGCTTGGGGGAGAGAGTTCCACAGTCTCGGGGCCACAGTGGCAAAAGCTCTGTCACCCTTAGTCCTCCTCTTAGTATTTTAGTATTTGACTAGTATTTTTATAGCAAGTAAGCCCTGATCAGATGACCTCAAAGACCTGCTAGGGACATCGGGCTGTAGCAGATCAAAGATGTAGGCTGGTACCAGTCCGTGCACAGCTCTGTAGATCAGGAGCAGGATCTTAAAATCAACTCTAAATTTAACAGGAAGCCAGTGTAACTGAGATAATAACGGTGTCACATGTGAGTACTTGGAGGATTTTGTCAAAAGCCTAGCTGCAGCGTTTTGCACAACCTGCTGACGATCCAGATTTCGACGATCGTGTAAATCGTTTACTCAGTACAATTATTTGCAGATGAAATGGGTAAATGGAAGTTATGCTTTGTTACGAAGTGGTCTATTTTCACGCTAACCTTTATTTATTTATTTATTTTTTAACAAGTTGAAATTCCTGAGAGGAGACTAAACCAAAACAAAGTGAGAAGCAAACTGCAGATAACACACTTGAATAATGCTAAGCTATATAGCTCCAAACCCTGGCGATATTAAGGACGAAAGAGACTGGAGTGGGGAAAAAAAAGTAACAGATAAATAAATACATCTGCTAGCATGAGGAAAGAAAGTTGTGCATAAGACCTTCTGAGGAAAAACAGCAGAAATGATTGACACTTGGGTTTAGTCATTGTAAAAACACTATATAGTCCTGGCATGTATGCCTGAGCTTTCACATGAAAAGCAAAACAAAACCCAAAAAGTGTTTATCAGGTGGCAACAGTTAGAAACATAAGCTGACTAACATTCTGCAGGCCTTCAGCTCATACAAGGAAAAAGCGTCAGGTCGAGGAATTAAATCGAATGGAACGCATTGCTGCTAACCCTCAATGTGCCAAACCTGCCAGGCCCTCAGCACCTCAGTGCCCTTTGAGAGCAGAGAATCCAAATAGAGTTGGCTGCTATTTTGTCCCTCTAAAAACCTCTCTTCCATCATCCTCCCCATAGGCGCAGGAAAAGCAACAAGTTCATTCTCAACATTTTACCCTCAGCAGAAAGTGTCTCACACCTCGGCTTATCGGTGCTACCACCGTATCAGAGCACCAGGGATAGAAAAGGCAAAAAAGACACACAGCCCACAGAATGTACGCTGAGAACACCCACTACAAATAGCACCAGACACCACCATTAAAGGTACAGTGTTGGTATTGTGTAGCGTCTTCTTCTTATTTTTATTTAATATGGATTGTTTATCGAGATAGGAGCTGGAAAATGGTAAAAGTAAATCGGTTGGATGAATGCACCACCTCCAGTCAATGGTAGCAGATTCAGTCAGCGTTTCTTCCTGTAAAAGGGGAGTTTCTCCTTCCCACCATCACCAAGTGGTTGTACATAGAGGATCATCTGATTTGTTTCTTCTTTTCTGGTTTAATATTATGGGTCATAGTTCCTACAGAGTGCTGACGATTTACAATAGTTATGCTGAATGCCAAATTAGATAGAAAACATAACTCCTTAAAAGTAATATTCCCCAGTTTTGGTGTCTAGTACACTGACATCAGCAGACAGTTGTAACGCCTTGGTGGGACTTTCTCTTTTCCCGTCACACTTCTTAAATATGTTGAACCATTTTTTTGGTTTTAATAAAGTCAATAAATCCACATCATGGTTATTGTTCAATTAAATCAAATACAGAAATCAAGTGCAAAAGAAAGAAAAAAGAAAGAAAGAAAAAAGATATTACTTTCATACTTTTAGTTTAGACACTTTTTTT